GCTGGAGCGCGCTGGGAGATTTAGCAGAGGGAAGTGATCTTGCCCAATGGTTACAGCCGGGCCCTGGGAATAGGAACTCGCAACTTACTGCCTCCCCTTTTCTGTGTCTCGCTTTATCAATGATTTTCACTTCATTTAATCCACTTTTTAAAAGCATCTGAGAAAATGCTTCCACCTGCTACACAGGTAGTTGAAAGAAATAACAACATGACTGGCTCTCTGCCACATGTCAAGGGATATTGAGGCTCTACCAGCTTGCTTTCTATTAAAAAAAAAAAAAAATGGGTGGTGTATAGCCCTAGAGTACTGTGTTTACTTTTAGTAGTAGCTCTGCACAAGTACTGCCATGCTGCATGGTGTGCCGACCTGAGCTCCGTCTGCTGGCAGAAGACTCTCATGAGGCTGCTCTATGGTTTCCACAGCACCATGCGAGCAATCTCTTTTCTCCAAAATTGCAGCCACAACACCGATGCCTGTTGCTAGCTCCAGGAAAACTTACCGGTTATAGATACTAAGGGACAGCATCTGCTACTTGCAACAGGTCTCCCTAGCTTATACTACAAATGATGCAGCCTTTTTTTTTAAAGCCCGCAAAGGAAGGAAAAAAACCCCAAACCACCCCAAACCTATTTGTGATGCTATCTAGAGCAGTGACATCTAGTGTTTCCTGACATAGCAATATTAGCAAATTTTTTGCTTTAAAAAAACAAAAGAAAGAATGTTGCCATGAAGTAGCGTAGCATTACCACAAGTGGGTTTATATTCACTGTAGGAGACACTGACTTGTTACAGAGCGGTCCTCAGCCCAAAACATCCTACCTGCTGATCTTTGTTTGCCACAGTGTTGTGAGGAATAAATGAGTGTTGACATAACACTTTGTTTTTGCTCATTTTCCATGTCTGCCTCAGAATGCTACAGCGAAAGTGAACATGATGATCCAGAAATAACAGACACACCACCTCCCCCCTACGCGGTCCAGCCGCCACCTCCTCCTTCGGTAAGTGTTACAGCAAGGAGCTTGTTTCTTGTTGCTAGCAAGTTGGGACAAAACTTTCTTGAGGTGCTGGACCTTTGAGATATAAGCTGGAACGACGTCTGGAAATGCTCATCCTGTGTGCCTGTGAGGATGCCCGGAGGCAGAGCACGCAGCTATTGCAGCCTGTGCCGCCGGGAGCCTCGCGCTGTAAAAAACCAGCCCCTTCAGACGGAGGCATATCTACCTTGCTGGAGAAAGGAAAGTGTCACTCTACCTCATACACATGCTGTGTCCTTTCTTCACAAGGTCTTTAACTCATTGCCGTAACCTAGTTTTTCACACTATTCTTTTTTTTTTTTTAATCAGTCCCAAATCTTCTTTCTTTTTGTGACCCTGGTACCATCATCCAACAGATTTGTATTTATCCGAGTGAGCTGTTCTTAAGGCTGCTGTATTTGAAGCTGCTTTTGTGGCAGTGAAGAGAACTAAAGGGGAAGAGGCCTCTTCTTATGTTGATAAAATCAGTCATTTTCTGAAAAATAGATTATAAAAAAAGAAAATAGGCATCCTCCCCAAATCTATGCTATTTTTCTCTCTCTCTATAGAGCATTGCCCAGAATATTCCTTTCTGCCTCGCTTAATTTCATAAATTAGAATAAGCACTCTGTACCCTCACATGTCTAATCAAATTGACTTGCCTAATTATTAGCCACTTATCACCCTATTAATCTTGTTTCTATATTGTTACTTTTCCCCGTGATCTCACCTCCCCTTACATGTGCTTTAAGACACGAGATTTACCTAATTCTGTGTTTAGAAATGAGTAGTCCTGTTTGGGCTGGTAATGCAGCTGAAAATAGGAATCCCAAGTTTGAGCCTTTCCCTTCCCTAGCTGTGAATTAAAATCGAGGGGTGTGCAGTAAAACCCGGGGTACTAAACCATCTCATTGCAGCTCACGGAAGGGAAGGGTCTGCTGCCTCCTTGGTGTGGTACGGGTTCCTGTGCGGCGTGCTGAGATGACTCCCAGTGGCTGGGATGGGCACAGAGGCAGGGAAGTGGGAGCAAAATTGAAAAGCATAGATGAGCTGGAGAAGCTTGCCTGGTCGCAGGCAATAATAAAAGGAGATGTCATGCACGGGGTTGCCCGTCTGGCAATCTTTAATTGGCTCGTGTAAAGCTGGGAGCGTACGTCACGCTGTCACCCACTTGCCCCCTTCTGTTTCAGTCAGAGAAGCCAATTTCAGCCAGAGAAGCCAGTCTTCTCTTCCTCTCCTGACACAGTTGTGTAGCGTTAATCACTGTAAACCAACCCACCTGGCACGCGGGGTTGCGTGGTCTTCACCGCTGTGTAAAACATGATTGTTTATTGCCTGCATTAACGGGAAGTTAAATGTGTCCGAGTGGCTATAAATGTTGGAGAAAATAGGAACCTTGGCAATACGTCTCCAAGAGTTATTCTGGGCTGAGGGCCGATAATGAAGCGTCTTGAATTTTATACCTCAGTGGCTTGCCTTTAAGAGGCTGTAGATGTCTTTTCCGTCTGCTCACCTCTGAGTGGATGCCTGCATTTTTCCAGATGATGAGTTTTAAACAGGTGCTGTTTTTTAGTTTTCTGTTTTTCTGGCTTCCTGCTGCTTGTCAGTCTGGTGCTGCAGAGGCGATCTCCAGTTGTCTCCTTCCCGTATGGTCTTCTGGAGTGCTGGCCTCCACGTTCTGGCAGGGGACGCGTGGGCGGGAGGCAATGGTGCAGGTGCCGAGGGGTCCTGCTTCCTCAGCCTTTCCCTTAAAGGTTATCTTCCCTCCAGCCTCTACCTCTCTCAGTTGATTTCCCTTCTCCTCATCCCCAGCTTAAACTCCCTTCCCCGATGGGCAAAGTTTAGTGTCTCCTGAGCAAAGTTGTCATCTTTTCACCCAAGAAGTGGCTACTGAAAGAAGCTGCCCTGTGCCTGCCCTATGCTCAGCTTGCTGGTGTGGTGGGTAGGGAGCAGTTAGGTACCAACAGAGCTGTGTTTGACTGCAAGGCAGTTGTCTTTTAAATACCGAATTTAATGCCCCTCCCACTTCTGGACAATTACTGGAGCAAGAAAACGCCTGGAAGGATTGGGAAAGCACAGCTTTCACTGGGAAGTCCGTTCGAGGCATGGAGCTCTTGGTTGTTTCAGGAAAGGCTGGTTAAACATTGCTTGCTGCCTGTTCATTCACTGCAGAGTTTTTGAACCGAGATATGAGGTCCCAAACATGGGATGGATTTGGGTGGATAGTCTCTGGGTACACCACTTTTGGAAGGCCTACTTGAATCTTTTTAGATTGCTACTGGAAGAGACGCTTACCCTGGAGATCCATCCCAGCATCAAGAATGCCACAGGCATTGACTGGTGTTAATTTCTTTTTATTACTTTCATCTTTTTTTGAAGTTGCACTTCTTTCTCCTGAGTGTAAAGGGATTTTGCTAAATAGGAATTAGGAGCTAATTGATTTTTGGAAAATCAAACCAATGCTGTCTTAAGCAGAAAGGCCTCCCAACTTCTTGAGATCAACTCCAGACTAAAAACCATTAGTCTGGAAACTAACAGCCACTCAGATGCAGGCTCTGTTATGTGTTAGAGCAGTAAACATTTTGCTGTATTTCTAGCACAGAGTTTTCACTTGCTGTACTGTTCTCTGCTGACTCAAACCGTTTTCAGACCTGAAAAAGAGAAGAGCAGCGATCATAAGCTTTCTATATTTATGCATGCTTTTGGGTACTATGGATGAAAAAAAACAAGTGAGGAAGAAGTAAATTTTAACATCTGTAGGACAAAAGTTAAACTCACCATCTGCATTAATTTCTGCACATGTGAATGGATTTACAGTTAAAAACCAGCAGCTATGTTGAGACAATAGATTGCAGCAGTCCCAAAAGAGCAGTTGAGGTGTTTCATGGCGATAATTTTTCTCTAAAAAATGCCCAGAGACTCATTGATCTCCAGTGGAATCCTTATGATCTGCTGGCTCAAGCATCTGCTTTTTAAAATGTCCCCAAATGGAGATTTATTATTATATGCATGATTTCCAAACTTCCAAAGGAACCACTCAAGTAAGCCAGGTAAACATTTGTCATGCCAAAGAAAAAAACCAAACACAACACACATGTACAGAAAGAGAAAGACATTCTGGCAGTCATCTTTATTCTCACTCACATTTTTTTATTTAACACATAATAAAAATGATAACAAAAATATATTCCACTCAGTGAGGCACAATGGCACTTTCTTTTACATGGACAAATGCCAGCAAAATAGAGGTGAGGTCTACCATCTTCCCTTCCTGTCTTTAGACAATCGAAATTAGACTACCCACACCATGTGAGAAAGAGCTTTTACTGGTTGGTTGTTCTGCTTGGCTGTGCAAATCTTCAACAATTTGTCTTTGCGATAGCTCTTAGATGAAATGCTTCAGGTCAGCTGTGTTCCCAAGGGTGTTTTTATCACTCATACATGTAGTTTATGACAGCATCTCCTTGTCCTTTGCTTTAGGGTGCATTTGTGAAGGTTTCCTTTTTAAAAACAAAAATGCACCTGAAACACAATGTTGTACTTCCTGTAATAGGAATATAAATTTAGCCTGGTCCCACAGTGTTTGGGACAGTCTTGGAGGAATGGCTTTGAAAATTTACAAAAGTGAAGAAAGTGCTACAAACAAATGGTGACCCACAATCTGATAACGGTCCTCCTCATCTTCTGAATTAGTAGCTATGTGATACAGCTAGATCAGAAGCACAGGAAAGCAAATCTACTTTGCTTTTTTTAATGTAAAAGGGAAGTAATATACATTACAGCAACGCTGAATTGCAGAAGTTTATCATAATAAAAAAAAAATTGTCATTCTTGGTTCGATTTATATGAATACATCTTATCTCTAGTTTAGTAGGTTATTGATAAGTATTCCAGGCTAGTCTTTTTATTGTGTTTGCAGCTTATCTGGGTGTCCCTAGAAACACCTTCTCGGTAATATTAAATACTTAATATTAATACTTTAATACTTTAAAAACTTAAAGTTTAATTATAATCTGTTTTAATCCTTACACAGATCTAGTCTACATACGTATTGAGAACATAAACTTGCCAGATTGTGGTCCACCAAGTCTGGTATTCTGATTCTGGCATTGGCCGGTAGCAGATGATTTGCAGGAGTAAATTTCTGCAGTAGCAGATACAAGAAATCTGGCTTTCATATCGTGATGATCTCACCAGGATTTCTGGTAGTTTTTTCTAAGAGCTTCACTATAAGGCTTTGTCTTCCCTTGTCTTCCATTATTTCATTTATTACTGTCAATTAATCCTCTTCTGGGTATTTGTATGTATATTTGTGTGTTTGTGTATATATTGTGCATTTGACACTCTTGCCTCATCTTTTCAGTGGTGTTTGGTGCCACAACTTTCTTGTGTGAGTTACTTTTAGCGATGAGATAATGCAATACAACCAATGTAAATGCCTACTGTGGACAAACACCTAGGCATCTACTCCCTTGTCTGGGAAGCTAAATACTTTTAAAAACTTTATTCTTTCTCTCAACCTTTCTTTACGTGGAATTGTGCATTTATCATAATCTCTCTCATTCATCTCCTAGCTCCTAATGATGACTGTTAGATGTCTCGGAGCCCTCTCTGGATGTATGAACTCTTGTTGAGGCAGGGTGACAAGTATGGCATGGAGGGTCCTAGGATATCTTAATGATTTCCAATGTGTCTCTAGTGCAGATTTATGTGCTGAAGGATGAATCTTAGCAGGTGAATGAGCAGCACAAATCTTGTACTACTCCCCTTTTCCTGCCCTTTGCCCCATGGCTGTCTGCTTTTTCTTTCCACCGTTAACTTGTCATCATATCACCTGTCAGCCGCCTTGCCTTGGTGAATGATTAGTCCCTTAGAAGGACCAGGTAAGATGGCTTTGTGTGCTGAAAAGGTCAAAGTACTTCTGTGCTTGGGCCCATTTCTGTCTATCCATTGTTATGGTAGTGATGGATCTATTGAATTCTTCAAGACAACTTCATGTTCAATGGCTAATTCAGGGTTTCTTTTCTACACTCTTTATTAGACCAATAAAGTGAAGGCAAAATAAAGAGTGGACATAAGTGTGAGACCTAGCGTGGAAGACTACATACATTCAACACAATATTTTTTCTTGGTCTTTTTTTTCTAGACCTTGTCAGGTTTTTATCTGTTTTATCTCTGGCTTCATTCTGGCTTGGTTTCTGAAGTTACTGCTCTGTAGGAAATTGGGTGCCATACCTCAGGATTGTTTGGATGGATAATTAATCAGATTACATCAATTTTTGGTCAGTTAGCACTTGAGCTGCATATCTATAACATGTAGAACCTAGGAACAGAAATAATTTTTCTTTTTTCTTTCTTTTCTTCCCTTTGTTTCTGGAAAACAGGATCAGCAGAAGTCCTCCTTCACCTCGACTCTGTCAAGTGAAGCATCTTGTTCTCTCTCCTCTCCTGAAAGCACTTTCAACTCCCAAGAGTTGTCTTCTTCCTTGACATCCAAAGGGGTTTATTCTGAGAGGCAGTCCTGGCTTGACCTAGTTAACAGCTCTGCCACAGAAGAGGGTGATCAGCCTTTAACTTTCTGCATACAGATTCACTCGGATGAGCCGCCAGAAGTAGACTGTGGAGAAGCAGCAGAAAGCCAGGACGCCTGGCTTTCCAAACCCAGCGGTGGATCCGAAAACTCTTTTTTAGGTCCGGATACATATTGTCTAGCTGTACCAGATGCAACGGGCCAGAGATCACTAGCCAAAGGTGAGCTAATGAGAGAGGAGATTTTTGTTTGCAGAGTTATACAATGTGGGAATTCAGGGCTTTTCCTCGACTTCCTTTCCCCTTCCTTCCTTTATGTTCTTCACTGAAGAGTTTTCCAGTGGCACGTCATCTACAGCAAACGTTTGGTTTATTGCACATTAAATATATAATCTAGTATCTAATTGGTAAGTACCTTTACAACTTTTCTTAAATTTTACCTATACGTTAAGATCATAGCCTCTGTATAAAACCCTAACATAGACATTTTTTTATTAGCTTGCTTTATTTCAATACAGTTGTCTTTTATTAGTTAGGATTAAATAAAAATTTTAAGAAAGTGTGTCACAGAGCTGATAGCTTAAGCAAAATGGCATATGTAGGAAGTGGTGAACATGGATTTAGGTCAATCCCATTTTAAAAATAAAAACAGTTGCGTTTACTTCTAGTATGTATTCCCTATTTGTTTCATTGAGCTTCATTGTAATCAAGGAGAAACAACTGCAGTCCTGAATCAGAAAGTCCATTAAGACTCTATTTTGTTTAAGCAAATGGGTATCTATGCAGGTATACTCCTACCAAAATGTACTGCTAAATTAAAAAGGTGGCACAGTTCCAGAATTTGGTCATTGTAACTGTTAATAACTCTCCTGTCTTAGTGGGGCAATGTCTCTTGCCTTTTGAGCAAAGTTTCTTCTTTCTGCATTAAAAGCAGTTGAAGCATAAGAGGCGTTTCTTGCATTAAACATGCTGAAATGAGAAGATACTCAACATGCTGCCTAGAGAGGTAATACATAAGGAAGCAATAATGTTCTTGTGCATCAGCCCTACTCATGATTCAAAATCCTTGTAAAGATTTTCAGAGATTACTTTGTTGTTGGAAGAGCAGTGTTGTCTCAGTGCACTGCAAAACAATGGTGCACCCAAAAGCTCAGGCTGAAGGAAATGCAAAGGTGGAAAGAAACAGTGCTGAACTCGTTGGGAACTAAGGGTATTTCTCTGTAGAAGAACTTAGCACTGAGTGAAAAATGATAGTATAAGGCCCATAAGTTACATTGTCAATCTCCCAATGGTTTTACAAATACGACAAACTAAAGGCGTGCTAACTGTTAATATGTTTTATTCCTTTTACAACCAAAAAAAAAAAAAAAAAAAAATTAAGTACAGATTTTACCAAAAGTGAAAATTGGCTTAGGGGTGGACTTGGCAATGTTAGGTTTACGGTTGGACTCGATGATCTTAAAGGTCTTTTCCAACCTAAATGATTCTGTGATTAATTTCAGAGTGTTTTGCACTCAGCTTCATTATCCATCTTCTAGAATGCTCTCCTAGAGAGTTCTGTAGCAGTGAAGATCAGTAAGAATTAAAAGTGAGAGCAAGCATATGTAGTATTTCTCTATGGTGGAAAAGAGTGGATGTTCTGAGAGAGTTCCCAATGAATCCAATTCCCATAAGCTCTGGCATTGCAAGTAGTGAAACGACTGAGCCTGGCAGAAATAGGGTCCCTAATGGAAATGTCATAAAGACGTAGTAAACTCATTGTCTTCTGTAATTTGAACTTCTGGGTTAAACTTGACCAAGTAATGCCTTTGGGAAACATTATTAGGTACATTCTGGTGGATTGCTGAAGTGTAGGCCATATACAGTATGGTGGCTTATAGATCCCATTGAGCAAGGTTCAGTGGTTGCTCTTCAGAAATCTAAACTTTTGCTTAGAACATGTTATTCTGGTACCGTCAGTAATCCTGCAGTAATGCACAGGTTAATGCTTTCCATCATAACCTTAGGAGTGACAAGTTCTTTTATGGATGGTCATAGAATTGGCATGACACGTTCATAATAATTTAAAGCAGTTTGATAGGCTTAGTAATACTTACATTTTAATCCCATTTTTATTAGTAAATCGACGCACATTTTGGTATGTTCCTGCCATTTGCAAGGTGGTTTAATATTCCCAATAATATTCCTGGGGAAATGAATTCTTCCATTGCCCACTGCTTAGCTGATGACCAACCCTGGTCACAGAACACTTCCATTCTAACCACACCAGTGATGCTGATGGAATTCCAGAAATAGATAATTCCAATGAGTCAGTCACTATGGAAACTGTATAACCTTACTAGTTACTGTCTGCATCAGAACTCATTGTTGAGCAACTGAGATGTAAGCCATACATGCATTTTTCTTTTCTTTATCAGCCTGCATAGTATGGGGAGGGGATGGAGAGTGTTGGCCTGTGGGATTGGTTCCCCTCCCCCCCACCCCCTGTGATGCCCACTGAAAAAAACAAATGAAATAATTTGCAAGGAGATTAGTTAAGCTACTTCAGTTTGAGAATGAGGCGGAAAAAAGGATTAACGTAAAATAGCAATTCATTTCCGAAAGAAAGTTATCAAAAAGGATGCAATTCTGGGTCTGTGGCTTAACCCCCAAGAATTTCTTCCTCCAGCTAGTTGATAAGGATGTGCACAAATACTGTGAGATGAATTCAAATTGTGAGGTAAAAGCTAGCTGCAAAACCTCATGATTTACAGTAACTAGAAAGAACATCATTGTTATCTGATGTGAAACAAGAATGCATATCTCTGATTTGCTACTGAAGTCCATGTTATTTGCTTTATAATGCTTCTGAATAGTGCATTTCTGATGGCTCATCCTGTTTCAGAGTAATGGGACTGAGTCCAGAAGGAGACAGGTCCATCTTGCATCAACATCTGTCCTGAAAGCACGTCCTGTATGCATAAGCCAGCCTTGCTGTTATCAGAACATTTATGTGATCTTTGAACCCGCTGCCCACAGAGCCTTCATGTGTGTCCATACTCTCTCCTTCTCCTTGTGAGGATAAAAAAAACCTGTTTTTTTTTTTTATTACCAAAACTCCGCTTTGTTGCCACATTCTGCTTAGTAAAGCCCCATGAGGAATTACTGGTTGCAGCTGATGATAGCAGCCTAGAGCTGAGGTGAAAGTTTTCAAGAACTGAAGAGCACTTTTGTCGGCAAAAGTCAGAAACAGAGGCCAGCGTCAGAAAAGTTGGTACCTAGCAGGAAGAAATGGCAGCTATGGCTTGTGGGAAGAGCTTATCATGAAAATACAAATATAGTTAAGAAACCTCAGTGATGAGTTAAACAATGAAAGAAAAGTTTCTCAGAGAAAAATGGATGAATCTCTGTAAGAGAAACAACAGATTCAACTACATTATCATGGATTATTTTTTTCAACAAAAATTACTTAAAGAACTATTCTAAGCGACTGTAAGTGTCTGGTGCAAGGAGATGTACCATATGATATTTTTAATGACCTTTCCAGCCACTCTTAGTGGTGTTATGTCCATTCTCAGATAAAAGAAAGGTACAAAAAGGAGAGTTTAACAGTCTTCTCTTTTGAAAGGAGATCAGCATTAGTTTTCCATTTAGTTTGTGGGAATATTTAATACTTCTGTGTTGCAGCTTGCTACATGCACAGTGACAAAAGATTCAAAGCTGCCTGTGACACAGAGAAACTGGAAGGTAAACAAGAAATTGAGGTTGAGAATACAAACAACTATCTGACTACGTGCTCTGTATCCAGAAGCTGGCCTTGCCCTGTCCGGGATGGCTAGACATGCTCTGCAGCCAAACTCCATCCTTTACATTTCTTCTGGCAACCACTGGAACAAAAAGTATCTGACTATGACCCACCACCATCATCATCAAAAACTTTGATAACAAAAAGAAGCTGCACAAACTGAGAGGTTACTATAAGAGAACAGGAATGTGTGTATTTATTTAGGGATCTACTATAGCAATAACATCCTTCTTCCTTGCATTTTCTGAGGGTTTTATGTGGACACGTGAAGTTAATGCGTCTTGGCAAGGAATTCTTATGGTACCACCTCTGGTTTATTTATTTTACCTTAGCTCACAGTAGCTGGCATAAGATCTGGTATGTGCCAATATTTTGAAAAACCTGGAAAGCTTTTTCAAATACTACTTGAATTTTATCTGGTTTGGTTCTGTGGAAAGGAGTTGGTTAAATAGGAGCTGGATGCAGTCAATTCCTTCTTCTTTCAGGATTGACATCCTCTTCCCCTCTGGAGTCTGCTTCTGCCAGTAATAGCCAGAACAGATCCTCTGGTGTGCTCTGGCCCCTTTGTTCCTTCTGCAAAAGTTACAGAAAATGGCTAGATCATGCCTGAGACTAGACAAGAAGTATGCCTATGGTGAGAGCAACCGTGTAGAGAAACAACTGTGTTTGAATGATTATTTTGCTTCTCATCAAAAAGGCTTTAGAAATCAGTGAAAACTATGATGTTACGGTATTCTGAACTCTCTGAAAAAGAGGTACTTACTGTGTTGTTTCCAGTTCAGTCACAGTTTGTTAAAATGCCATCCATCACTGCTGAGTCTTGACTGTTGTGGTCAAGAGCATCTAATTGTTGGTGGTAACATACTTTTCCTGTTATTTTCTCCCACTCTCTCCTACCTTTAGTTCTGCATTTGCCAGTGAGGAGTTTGCCTAAGCTATGTCCTCCTAATCCAAATATTTCCTGTCTTTTCTATTCTGTAGTTCTGTGGAAAATGTGAATTCTCAAGTTATCCTCATATTCCCATTGAAAAGTGTACTACCACTATGGAGAATGAATGGGTGGGGGGTAGGTAAGGGGAAAAGCGGTTTATGATTTTTTTTTTTTTCCTTTCATCTCCCCAGCCTGTGACTATATGTTTTCCCATTGGCATCAAAAGCTTTGGCAGAATCAGAAACAGAAGTGTCGGCACAGCTACAAGAAGCTCATAAGAGTAACAATGACAGAAGAAGCAGATTTTTTTTTTTCCTGGGATTAATACACAGTCAGAGAGCTGTGAGATCTCAGTTAGAGGATGGGAGAACAAGTATTTACATTTCAGCTTAGATTTAGTAAGATATGTTCTGTTGGAGGTGGTTTTCGATGCAAAATGCTCCTGCTGCCAAACATTACCAATTTCTGTATCTTTACCTCTGGGAAACAATCAGCTTGATTTCTCACAGCTGCTCTTAGAAAAGTTCTGGATAATTTCACTTTTGTAGGCTTAAAGAGCATTAAAGCTGAGATTTCAGGCAGGCTCCTGTATTGCTGCTGCAGGGTGGGGAGTCTCAATACCTTAATGTCTCCCACCTGTGGCAAGCTGGCTGACAGGACGGTGGGAGCTGAAAATTGAGAGGGTGAAGAGCTGGCATGTTGAACCTCTGGCAGCTTGCTCTTGTCTATGATATCTCCTGTTAGTTAGAGGGAAATTCCAGATAAATGGCATCAAGCCACAAAATTGTGTTTTACTTCTCCTGAAACAGAATTTGTCAGAAGTCTTGACTTGCCTGAAATATTACTTTATTTTCCTCAACCCAAGCTAGAAGGTCTCTTTCTCTTGAATGTTAAAATATCTCAGGGCAGGACTTCCCTTTTCCTCAGGTCAGCACTGGTTCTTTTCCACTTTCCCCACTGTGGATTCTGACAAAGTTAAGAGCCATACAGTACTACAGAATTTTTCCAGAAGTGCTATGAAGCTTTAGCAGGCTGCAAGGCTTGTGAGTGAAGGGCATGGTGCAGGATCCCAGGAGGACTGATCTTTCCAGCGGCATCACTCCGCAGAATTGCTTATAGTTAATACCGCCAAGGGAAGGGAAAAGTGCACAGTGCACGTGCTCCCCTGTGTGCACGTACATGCTCATAAATAGACACAATATGTAATATCCTTCCACTGTTGCCATTTGTTTTTTACCACTAATCCTTGACTAGGTTCTGAGAGAAAAATGAATGTATTTTATCTTTAAAATAGGATGAGATAAAGAAGTGCTGTAGTAGCATTGCAGTTTCCTAACTTGTACGCCTGAGACAAAGTGCTTAGCTCAAAAAGTACTGGTGGAAGAGATAACTTGAAATATTATATTCTGAAGTAAGTTTGAATGTGCCTGATGTTAGCTGTGTGACCCGGCTGGAAAGACTCACTCCAGAGCAGTGCTAGTGGGGCCCAACCTGCCTATGTTATTAAGAATTTTTGCCAGCGGAATATATCCATCATTATAAACCTTCAGAGGTTAACAAAGCTCAGAGTAGGGGTGGCACATTTATCTCTGAGAGACTGACACAGACAATCTGTTCATTTTTACACGAAGTAAAATGAGTTTTACTGAGCTTGTGTACTATGCGCTTTTGGCATAAATACTTACTTTGTGATGGAAAGCAAATATTTTGTAACTATTCAGTAGTATGGTCTAGACAGCCCAGGTTTCATAGGAGGAATCCAAATCACTGAAGCCTTAAAATACAGAACTGGTGAATATCTGTGCTTCTGTTAGAGACTTGCTTATCTTCAGGTCAGTGCTGTGACTCCAGGTGCAAGGGAATTAAGCAATACCAAGTTCTGGGAAAATGTGCTGTGAATGTTTGAATCTGGAGGAATAGCCCAGTCTGTGCTTAAAGCCTTGAGTCACGTTGCTTTATCTCTATTATCCAACCTTAACTGGATGTTTTGCACGGGAAAACAAGAAAGCAAACTATAGGTAGCGCTTTCTTAATTTAATTTCGTGGCTTGTCAAACACCATAATGCACCATTGTGTGAGCGAGGAGAATTATGCTTTCTTATCACCGGCAAATTTATTGGTCTTGTTAATTGATTGCTAGACATAATGCCTCTCCCCCTCCTCCATTACCTCTCCCCCTTCAGATTTACAGCATCAGTCTAGTGTGTTCAGTGGCAGCTTCAAGCCTGCAACGCATGGGCTTTTGCTTTCTGACCTTGGCTCAGGGGAACTCAAGATATTGAAGGTAAAAGTCCAGACAGGTATCAGACAGTCTGGCCTCAATTTATAGAGGTTTATTGGCAGACATACTCTTTTGTCAATAGCAACAGTACCTGCTTCTATACAAAAGCACAACATTAAGATAATGTTTTGTTATTTTTTTAGCTGTTGTAGGAGAAGTTCATTGCTCATCAGTGCAGACAAAGATGGAGACAAAAGTACTAAATGAGTCATACCTGACTCTACACAGCCTGTAGGTTTCACTCACCCTTGTTTTCCAACTGTTTCCTAAAATCCCGTTTAGCTGCTTCACTGTCACTCCCTTCATCCTCTCAATGTGAAGAATCTGGCACATTCCTTTCCCTCTGAAATTACCTGACCCTGATCAATCCTTTTGGGGGTGGGAGTGGTGGAAGAATAAGAAATTGGAGAGGAGTTTAAGGTTGCAATCTGGAAAGAATACAGGAGCTGAGTGCACGTTGCTGATCATGTGCATTGTCCAGGAGCCTTGTGTTGGGCTTTTCTGATCTCAGCTCCCTCTTTTTTTTTTGGCACTGAGTGCTTCTGTCGTCCTTGCCTTCATCCACAAATGCGTGGAAGATATCAGAGTACTTAGCATGGAAGAAGAGTGTTCAGTGAGGGTGTTTTCTCATGCTGGTTGCTTTGTAACCCTTTTAGGACACAAAGGAGGATCATGAGTTAGCCTCAAAAAATATCTGGAGCAGGGACTTCAAGTCCTCTATGGTTTGCCTATTTTTTAAAATTCCTGGACAGGATCAGTGCAATTTTTTTTCTTCTTATATACTCTTTCTTGGATATCTGATAAAGGGCAATTTATCTCTGAGAGTGGTACTGTGTACAGCCCAGATGGGTGATGTCTACAGCGGAGCTGAGCCGGTCCTGGGCGGGAGCTGGCTAAATGAAACAAACAGCTGCTTCATCCCAAGAAAGTAGTCAGGAAGCTAGTTATAATTACGAGCCTCATGGCATAAGCCAACAGTTTGCAGGAAATACTACTGCCGTGTATTATTCCTTACACTTGCATTTTTTTCTATTTCCCGCAGCTTGTTAAATATACAACAGTTCTCCTTTTCCTCCCCCAGTATTGTACCAATGTTGGAAGCTATATTTAGTTCTTGTCAAGTTACAGCAGGCTTTTTATAATCACGAAGTAGTGAAAAAAAGGCCAGCAACATAATGAAGGCAAATATTTGTAGCATATCACAAACTTTTCTTGTAACCTAAATATTTAGAAAGAACAAGGGTGTAGGAGGATGCTGTACTTTTTAACACATGGAAAAGATAAGGAGCAGCCTCCGAAGTGTGCTGACATGTTGGAGAAGTCTTTTTGCTGCAGCATGAGTGAGCAAAAGGACTTCTTCCTTTTGTTCAGAAAATGTTTGCTGACTGAAGATGATTTATAAAAGTAAATGTTTAACGTTTAATTAAAAGAAAAAATGCCCAGCCAGTTCAACTGGCACATGGAGGACTGTGGGTGAGAAGGACCACCACCACCGTCCCCAATGAAATAAAAATGAATGTTATCCCAGTAGATCTTGAGGGACTCACTAGCACCCTGAAAACACCAATAACTAAGTTTTACCTTTAGCAAACACTGAAGTGGAAAAGCTTCCAGTGTGGACTGAGGGACAAGAAGCGAGTTGCGCAGTCTGTTGCTGAAAACGGCCTCTGCCAAAACGCCCTGATATATGCCTGGTACATTTTTAGTTTCTGACTGCTGTTCATTTTTAAGTTGGTTTACTTTGGAAAAAAAAAAATCTTTGCTTCAATTTTTGTCTCGTTTTATGCTATTTCATTTGCAACTGCTAGCTTTTGCTTTCATGACCTCTCTGTCATGGAGGATGGTGCTGCAGCTTGGGAGCCATCAGAATAATTAAGGTGGAGATAATCAAGGCTTTGTTGTGAGGCACCACAAACAAATTCTGTGCTGCAATCTCTGAAACTCCCCAACAGTTTCTGCTTTAATCTGTTTTCTAGGGATCTTCTTTTGGAGCCCCTGAAATGTTCCTACATTTAATTTCATTTCTCAATTTTTTCAAACTCTGGTTTCAGTACTTAGCAAAGCCTGGTGATGAATAGGTACACCAAATAGGATTTGACCTGTGAGTTTCCAGGTAGAAAAGTAATTCCTTG